CTATGTTAAAATTTAATCCATAAATGAAGCGTGTAGGAAGAATTCTGTTTTCCTCTCGGTTGTCTTACTTGTTTTATCAGTTTTCCTTTCTTGTGCTAATGATTTTACTTTATAGACTGATTCCACCTCAGAGGATGTAGCTAACCCGGCCTTTACGTTTCATCAAAAGAGAAAACATGCACCGTTTACGATAGGCCTCATCGTCTTCAGTTACCATGTTTTCATTAGTGAATATATACTTGTAAAAGTGGTTTGAGTAGTGATCCTCCCAGAACAATGTGAAAGTACAGATAGTTTTTGTCTTTTCTCGCGTTCTCATCGGCAAAGGGTATTTGCTGTTAAATAATGAGGTTTTCTTCTAATCTCACATACTTCATGTCGGCACCTTTTAGGGATTTTTTTTTTTAATGCATTTTCACTGGGTAATCTGATGGGCTTCTTTATAGTAGCTTTTTTTGTTTTTGCTTTATAATAAATTCATGATTTTTCAGCATTCTGAGTCAACCCTAGGTGGTAGATATTTTTCTTTGTTTTCACCAAATTCATGAACTGCCATGATATAAAGACCCTCTGTAAAATTACTTTGCGCCCTTCAATTTTCTGTATCAGGAGAGAGTTTTACAATTCCATAGTGGTTGCTAACTTGCGTATCTAAAATGCTTGTTGAAATTGGCAGTCCCTTCTAGGTTCCACACTTGTCACATGATACCTTCATTGTCATAGCTTGTAGCAGTGTCTGATTGTCACCGGAGGTTTTGGTACGATGACTGTAGTTGTGAGAGTTTGGGTTGGCATGACGCGGTAATACTTGCTATTTGCATAAGGTTGAAGTTTTTAAAAATGTGTTTCCCTTTTTAGTTTTTCAGACATTTTGTAAACCATATAGGAATTCTTGTTTCAATGTGCTTCTTTGTATATTTGGCTTGATTCATAAAACAGATATAATCTTGACTGGTTCAGAGTTTAATTCTTCATTTAAAAAAAAAAAAAGAGTAGGCGAGAACGTATTTTTCAGAATGCTTGGAGCAGAGTAAGTATGAGACCTTGAAGGAACTACCAGTTCCTTCTAAATGTTAGAGGATCAGTAGTTATTTTGGATCAGCACTCCCAGACCCCCAAACATAGGCAGGCAGTTAAGAGCTTTCTCTAGTTTAACACAAATTGTCAGAATCAGAATCCTTTAGTCTTGTTCTGGTGAATGAAATTGGATGAACTAGAAATGATATGTAACTTGCACATCATGCTGTTGGAATTTTGTATTTTCAGTGAATTGTTCAAGTTTATCATTTGTTATAGTCAACTTGAAAGTTAAAGTCAGAGCTTTTTTCCTGCCTTCTCAATTTATATTTCTCACTGAAGAAAATGTTTCGATGACTTTGCTTTTAAATCAGAAGAACACATGTTTTGAGGTCTCCTTGGAGACCTTCAGCACCTGGGAAGAAGGCACGTTAGGATAGAATACAAACATTTTCAATTTCAAAGGTACCTTGAGAAATCACTGAATGTAGTAGCTTCATATCACAGGTAAGGAAATGGAGGCCTAGAGAGGTGATGTGACTTTTCTCAAATCATTCACCAAATAGAATTGAAGCCAGTAATTCTCAGCCCAGATTTTGCCCCGTTATAACATGAATTGCGTCAGAATTTTTATCTTGGGTGCCATTGATTCCTTTGTGAGTAGAACAGCATTTTAATTGAGTTATTTAAAATGTCAGTTAGACATAGAATGACCATATGTTCTGGTGTCTCTGAGATCGGCTGGTTCCCACTTATTCTCTTGACATCATTATTAGTAGTACCCTGTATCAGTCTCCCCAGTGTCTGGGTTTAGATGGTAGATTATATGGTTGTCCTGTCAGAGGGACATGCCGTGTTTATTGTCACGTCTTCTTTGTTCTCTTAGTCCCACACAAATAGTCACATTCTGGAACATGGGTACATATTAAATTGCTGATTTTGCTTACTCCTATTGATTTTACCACGTAAGTAGTACCCATTGTTCTTGTATCTTAGAGAGGTTCAAGCATTAAAGTATGATGGGCCTCAAATGCAGAGGCTTGTTATTTTTTAGGTAATTCTGCAGAAGTCACTTGGGGAAGCCTGGAAGGTGCTTTCCTATGCTGCCCCTGCCCTAGTAAGCACATTTCGTTGGAGCCTTTTGCATCTTGCTACTGGAGTATGGGTAATAGTACAGATCAAAAATTAAAAAATATGTGTCAACATTAAAATTTGGAGTCAATGTAGTTTTGGAGGGATAATTCTCATACACTAGATCATTTGGTCTAAGGCCTCATTTTTGTGGGAACTGAGTCACAAGGCAGTTCAGTGTCCACTGCCTAAAACCCAGCAGTATAAGGCAGTTTTAAAATTCTCCTCCTCCTTGAACAGATTGTAAGACTGGAGTTTTATGGCCTGAACCTTGACTTGATACTGGGTTTCTGTGGTTTGATGGTTGGTATTGGCCAGGCATCCCACATTTGTACAGTTGAACATGCATCCTCAGCATGGACAGCTGGGCAGATGATATAGAAGTGGGCCTGGCTGTGCAGAAGACATGCTGCTCCCATCAAGAGCTTCATACCCTCCCTCTTGTTGTCAAGGGAACTTGTATTCGAATGAAAGCTTCTTCAGTGGTAGAGGAAATTTTCACCTTGAGATGCTGCTTGTCTTGTAATTCCTTTCTCCTTACGGGGCTGAATATTGTAACCTGTTACTGTGATCTCGTTGTCTTCTAGTATTGGGGTTTTTTTGTGTTGGTCATTTATGCTGCTACTAGTTGAGTCAGAACAAAATGAAGCATCGTGATTTTGTCCCCCTGCCCACTTAACTTGAGATTTTGATTCAGTATCTAGTTGTAGCGGTGAAAATTTTGCTAATTAAAAAAATTTGTCCCTTACATTAGACTCTCAGAGTTAATGTCTTCTTTTTTTTCTTTTTTTCCCTTAAATTTATAAGTTAAACATAAGCACAAATGTTTGATTGTACCTCGAAATTGAGTTTTTTCCAGAGGGCCAAGAGGATTCCAGTGTTCGGAATTAACCTAATGTCCTTTTGTCTCTTCCTTGAAAAAAAATACACAGTACTTTTCTTCACTTTTTATAAGACTTTAGAGTGATTGACCTTAAAGGTATGATTCTCTCTTGAATACAATATTTCCTAACCCTTTCCTTGCCACCTAAAAAAATGATAGCATTTGTGTGTCAGACACTTCCATCAAAGAGATGATTGATGCTGGTGCTGCCATGGGCTTAAAAATTGTTTTGGCTATTCTGGGTCCTTTTGCATCTCTATATAAACTTTAAAATTAACTTGTCAGTTGCTAAAAAAGAAAGAAAAGGTCTACTGGAATTTTGGATGAGATAAAATTCAATCTATAGATTAATTTGGGGACCAACTGACTTATCAATATTGATCTGGTAACAGTATGGTCTGGTTTATATGGTTTAAAAGGATGACTCCAGGTGCTGTGAAGAGTGAATGGGGGGTTAGAGGTGAAGCGAGTGGCAGCAGGGAGACCAGTTAGGCTTTGGTCCAGTCCGTCCGAGGGGTCATGGTAGAGCAGATTAGGACCATCATGGTAAAGACGGAAATGGGTGGGATTGGGGATATATTTTGGAGGTAGGATAGACAGCATGTGCAGGTGGTTTGGACGTGGTAGGACAGGAAAAGCTCAGCCTGTGGATGAATTTTGGCTTTAACAACTGGGTGCATGGTTGTACTTGCTAAGTAAGATGGGGAAATCTGAGAGAGGCAGTAGAAAGCTTGGCCAAGGGTTGGGGGTGGGTTGTGTTGGTAATCAGGGGTTTTGTTTGGGGCCTGTGAGATGACCAAGTAGAGATATCAGACAAGGAGGCGGCAGTAAGGAGAGAGATCAGGGCCCGAGATACACTTAAAGGCATGGTGTTGGCTCTGAGCCTATAGTGCAAATGTGCAGAAGAAGAAAAAGGCACCTAGGACTGAACCCTCTCTCACTCGAACATTGAGAAAGTAGAAGCATTTAGAAAAGACTGAGCAAACGAGATCCAGGAAGAATAAGACCAGTGGTGGATGAAGAAAACTAAGACATTGTGATACCATGGAAGCTGACAGAAGAAAACAGATGAGAAGTCAAATGAGACAAGACTTGTTTGACTAGGGAGCAGGGACTGTGGACTTGGGCAACATGAAGATTTTAGCAGGTGTGGCTTCGAGTGAAGGGGTTCCCTGGAAGACTGACCGGTGTGCACTGAGGGGAAGCCTTGGGGGACGAAGGAGAGAGCAACTCCCACCAGCTCTCAGGAACTTCTGCTGTGAAGGGTGGCGGAGGTTAGGACTGTACGTGGAGGAACACGGGATTGCGGGAGGGCTTTGATGGGAATATGCGGTCGAGAAGGGGACACTGATGAGGGGTGGGGAGCCAGCTGCGTGAGTGAAGTCCCGAGGAGGCAGCGAGGTGGGAGCAGGTGGAAGGGTCGGCCTTTGTTAGGAGAGGGGTTGACTGACCTATAGAAGCAGCAAGGAAGTCAGGACCTAGGCACAGTTGCAGGGGCAGCAAGTTCCTGCCGGTTTTTTTGTTTTTAAATTTTTGACTGCGCTGCGTGGCTTGCGGGATCTCAGTTCCCCAACCAGAGGTTGAACCTGGGCCTTGGCACTGAAAGCCCAGAATCCTAAGCACTAGGCCACCAGGGAACTCCCCTGCTTTTATCTTCTTAACGTAGTTAAGGCAGTTTCATCAGCTGAGATTGGGGTGGGCTGGTGGGTAGGCAGTTTGAGGTGTGAGCCTTTGAGAATGGGAAACAGAACATGCCAGGAAAGTTTTGTAGGATCACCTGATAGTGAGGATTGCCCATTACAGTAGATGCTTGCTTTGGAATTCTTTGTCGTCAACTAAGAAAAAACTTCGAATGTGTTTAACTTTCAGATATAACTTAGAAATGTTGTTGACTATGAAAGAAGACATGCTAATACATTTTCTTATCATGTAGAGAGGTTTAATAGAACCTTTTTTTAAAACATTCCAGATTTGATATTCTTTTTGAGCACCTAGAGACTGAGAAGGAAAGGACCCACAAACTCAAAAGAAAAATGGGCAAAAGCCTTGAACAGACGGTTTGCCCAGAGAGAAATGCAAATTTCATCTATTTCTCACCCGTGAGGTTGGCAAGCATCTTAACATTTGCTAATAGACTCTGCAGTAAGGGTATGAGGAAACACACACTCTCATTTATTACTGGTTGGAGTGCTACATAATACAGTCCCTAAGGAGAGGAAGCTGGTGAGACCAACCAAAAGTACTGTTTGGCCTTTTACCCAGTATTCTCATGAATTTGTCCTATAAGTACACCTGCACCCGTACAAATGACTATACTTGGAGTTACTCATCGAGTCATTGTTTATCATAACAGAAGGTTGGAAACTACTTTGAGTATTCATCCTTGGGGGCTGGTTGATTAAACTCTGGTACATCCACACAATGAGATGCTATGTGATTGTTCAAAAAGGAAAATCTCTACATGCTGACAGGGAGAGATTTCCAGGATACGTTTGCAAGTGAAAAGACCAAAATTCAGAACAGCATAGATAGCATTCTGCTTCTTTTCTAAAAGGGGAGGAAATGAGTATACTTCTATTTGTTTGGTTTTGCATAAAGAAACATCAGAAGAATAAACAACAAGCTAATAAGTGATTATGTGCTGGAGTCAGGGGAACGGATTGCCTGCGGACAGAGGAGGAAGTGAGACCTCTCAGTGTCCATCTTCTCTTGTCATTTTGATTTTGAACCATGTAAAGATATGAATTTACTTTAGCCAAAAAAAGAGTAGGTACTTTACAATAAAGTTTTGGAAATCGTCATCATCTTCGTCAGTGTCATATTATATAAATTGGTTCGTGAAGGTTCGTGATGCAGCAGTAAGGTATGACAGATATAGTAACGGGGTTTTGTAATTTAGGGGCACTGGAATTATTAAGAAAATTGCTGAATAGGTGTTTATGTTTCTGGTCTAATTAAGAGAAAACAGTATCTAAAGAAAACCTTGTCAAAGTAACTGAACCTAAGGTGTAAGTATCTTACTGTAATTCAATGATAGCTTTGTTATTTTTTAAAATCTTTTTAATTGTTTTTGGAAGGTTAACACATTACATTTGGTTTTTAACTGTTAAGAATGTGTCATTGAATGAATTTGGTTTTTAACTGTTAAGAATGTGTCATTGAATGAATTTTAAGTTGCTACAAAATCTTTTTCTACTAATATACCTTACTGTTTTGTATTTTATTACAGACTGTTTTTTTTTTTTTTTTTTTTTTTTCTGGGAACATTTCTGGACTTCAGAATACCCCTGAAAGCTAAATGGTTCATCTTGTTTCAGATGGAGAATTTTGATTGTTGAAAAGCTTGTAGAGAAAATGTGGGAACGTGGAGTCGTGTTCCCATATCTTTTGCATTTTCAAAAGAGCTTAAACGGGGTGGTACCTGGGATCTACAGTCCTTTGGATGAATGGGGCATTGTATCTTCCTCTTATCTTCCCCTAAGATGCTATGACATCGAGTCCTTGAAATTTATATGCGTCCATCAGATCCCTGTACCTAGCCTTCCATCTTTGTTCATCTTTGTTCATCAGCTCAGCCATGGCTTTGCGCCTCTAGCAGGGTGCCTGGCACATGGTAGATTATTGAATTAATTTCCCTGGGCTTCAGTTTCCTCGTTGATAAAATAGGATGATAGTGTCTGTGCCCTGCCAGCCTCTCTGGGTGCTTCTAAAAGCAAATGAGGTGATCATGTATTGTGAATTCTTTGTAAATTGAACATTTCAGCTCTTAGTAAGGATTTTCCACATATTACTTGATAATAAGTTCGTTCTGTTATTACATTTTTCTTATATCTGAGTCTGGAGCTTCCTTCGTTTTATCTTTTTCTAGATCTAGTGGAGAGCGTGAAAACATCCCTCTTTCCCTTTAGTTTCTCTGAGGTTTTGTCTACCTGTCAATTGGGGATAAAACCTAGGGTTCTTATATGAATTAAAGCTAGTGTATATAAACTAGTCATCACAGTGATTTGTAGAAGTAACTGCTAACAAAATGGTAATTTTTTGTTTTGTCATTGAGTGATTTTTTTTTTTCAACCTAGGATGTTTACTATTCTAATGTTATTGTGAGCCACCTGCTAAAATACTTGGCACATAAGTTGTTGCTCACCCTATAGAACAGAGTATTTGAAACAGGGGTCTGAGGAAGGATTCATGGAGCTGGCAGCATTTATTTAAGTACCGTTGTCTGGTGGGCTTATATGCTGTCCATCAGTCTTCCAGTGATCAGCCCTTAAAGAGGTATTTTTTTAAGTTGGATATACTCAACCATGCTCAAATTAATGCCACAATTATGAGGGGAGATTTGGGGGTGGGGTGGGGATTGGTGGAGAGTAACTAGTAGATAATAGAAAAAATCCACTTGTAAGTAATCTTTAATCCGCAGGATTTTTATAGCAGATGTTTGCATTTTACCTACCCCACAGTACCCTGTGTACCTGCCATGCTGGATAAATAAAAAGTTCTGATGAATTTGCACCCTGGTGTCATAGAAACCAAAGATTAAAGATTGAAACAGCACATAGTGATCTGGTCTCCTAGGGCAAAGTGAAGCATGGTGCTGAGGCAGTTATTTGGGTAATTCAGACCCACATCTGGTTTATGAAAATGAATGCAGCGTTTATTGAACACTTACTGTGTGCCAAGCTCTATGCTAAACATTCTGTGTATTATATTGGTTAATCTTTAAAATATTCCTTTGAACTATATGTCTTATTATCCTGACTTTACAGGTGAGGATATTGAGACTTGGAAAGATTAAGTAGCTTGCCCAGGGTACACTAAATGACAGAAACAAGACTGAAACCTTGACTTTGTCCAACACTAAAACCTGTGACTTTTTTCCTCTGGGTAGTACGAGCAGTCATCCCTTTGCCAGAAGAACTTGGTATGTCACTTTTCAGCTTTGGTGGTAAAATCTTGACCGGTAGAAATAGAAGGCTGCAAGAGAAATAAGCAAAGAAAGTGTTTTCCTTCACCTGATAAGATGTTATGCCACTGCTTTTGATCAGAGAATGACAAGAGTAAAATATTATAGGAGGACCAACTAGGACAAAGAACAGCCAGCAGCCAGCAAACAAAGAAGAAAGCAGTTGAGCTTACACTTCGGAAAGTTTGAGCTGAAAATGAAGTCTACATGGTATGAAAAATTGAGTGTGGGTGTTCCAAATAGAGCTACTAGACTCTTCCTGTACAGGGGCTGGGAATTCCGTAGAATTGAAGATTCATATTTTTTTGCCTATAAACCTTTATCTCGTGTATTTAATTTGTATAATAATATCCACTCTAGCCTGGTCTGGATGGTGACATCAGACAGCAGGATTTGAACACCCTCCCACAGGGAGCTCTGACGTTCAAGTTCCAGACTCCACATTCATCTGGCTTCTTAAATCATGGTCTCCCGGAGTGTTTCAAACCCAAATTGTAGGGAATCTGAAGTTTACTCTGAAAAAATTTCTTGTCTGAGAGTTAAAAGCTACAGCTGTGCAGGCTTGTGCGTGCCCTGACTCTGGGTATACTGGAGGGAGTAATTTATTTTCTCCTGTGGAGGATTGTTTAGATGTCTTGAAAGTGTGTGAAAGGAATTTTTGATCTCCAAGGCATATTAAAATGATTAAGATTTCAAAAATACTAATTACTGCTATACACAAGGAAGAGATCTGAGAGTGATAATTTTAGTAACACTGCCTGTTTTGCCCAGTAGTCTCTTTGTAAAATCCTATTTGTGAAACAGTATGTTTAATTTCAGGAATGTGGCTTTTGAGTAGAATATAGTAAGTACATTACCTTAAAAAGGAATGGACATTTCTGTCTGCTATTTTAATTGTATTAGTCAGCATCAACTCACAGTTTCTTAGTGGGGACTAGAATTGGAGCAGCAGACATAGCAAAATATGCTGAAACTTCATTTTAGGTAAACGTCAAGCCTCGCAAACTTTCTATCATTCAGTTTAGTGATCTGGTTATCATCAGGTTAGTGACTGAGCTGGAGTAGAAGGAAAGGTGATGAGAATTGAGGAAATCGAGGCACTGTGCGTCGTGCTAGTTGGTAGTATTGAAGTTGCAGACGAAGAGGAGATTGCAGACCACTTCTGAGATGTGTCTTGTAAACCTCCTGTACCATCTGTTTTCACTGAAGTAGTGTAGCAAAAACCTCTTAGGTTTGTGTCCTTAATGCTCCGCAAGTATTTTCCTTCAACAAATCGGTGATTTGTACTGATGATTTGAAAGCCCGGAGGTTAATTGATCACAGACTAATAGGTTATTTGACAGGCTTGGCCGTCCTGCTTACTTAGCTGGAGGAGTAGGGATGCTTTGTAACCTTCCTGCTGAAAAAAAATTGTATGTGTGTGTTGGAGGGTGTCAGCAGGAAGCCGACTTTACTGTTTCTCTAGTGATGTGATACCTGCCAGGACCTAGAGCTATATGACCGCCCCTTTCTCCCATTCCCCTAGCTCATGGGTTCTCAGTAGGAGCGATTTCACCCCCCAAGGGGTGGGAATTGCCGGCGGGGGGGGGGCTAGATGGTTAAAAAGAAAATCTTACTCCACGTGTAAAGCATGTATACACACACATAGTATGTAAACAAATATACATTATGTTTGTGGTATTAAAATTTCATGGAGGGGCAATTAGGGAAAAAAAAAAGCTCTGAAAAGACTTCTTAGGTGTGGGGAGTGGGGGCAGTCATGGAAAAAGGTTGAGAGACACTGCCCTAGCTCCGTTCAGGTAGGGAAGAGCGGGTGATGGTATCAGTATCACTTGGCGTAGAGAGAAGGAAATGAAAATCTCCCATAAACAGCTTCAGTTTTCTTGATAAAGTTGGTGTAGTTACTACCAAAGTAAGGATTAACAAAGGTTGGGATCTTGTGAACGGAAAGGTTTAGACCTCTTCTATGGGAATAAGGGTGGCAGTGTATGCTAGCCCTCCCCGGCGAGTGGCCAGGTGGGTCTGTCTCTTAGGAAAATAATGAAGTTGGTGAAATCTGCCTTGTGTCTCCTTGAGGGTCTTCTGCTTTTTCCTCTCCTCTCCTAATGAACACTATATTTAGCTAGCTGTTTAATGGGAAAGCTTATAATAGGCTTGTATATACTAAGGTGAAAATGACTGATGATAAATTAATGTGTTATTATTTTCAGGGACACTTGCATTTGAGCAGGGGGCCATCCTCAGTGTAAGAGTAGTGGATGCTTAGGTACCCTGACAGGTTAGGTCAATGGTTCCTGTCCCAGGGACCTGAAAGAATGATTGCAGCTGGTCTGCAAAAGCATATGCATATCAAGAATTATCCATGGACATAATCGAGAGTGTCTCACAGGCGTATGTACTACTATTTTTAAAATGTATATATGTGCTTCTCTAATGGATAAAATATAAATTAACGGTATTACTAAATTTATAATACTTCACTGTTGTTACATGTTTTCTCGATCCACAAATACGAGGAGTCTTGCTTCTACCCTTTGAGGAACCTCATCCTGAATTGCGCTCACTGTATTGGAGGGTCACTACATTGCAATGCGAATGGAGCGCTTCCACATAGGCCATTGTACACACAAGCTACAGTCAGGGGCGCCCTGCGTGTAGCTCCTTGAGGGGCTTGGGAATTGGGGAAATCCCTTGAGTAAAATGTGTGGTACAGAACTATGTTTATTGACTGTTGCCCCTTATTTTTGTTGTTCAGGCACTGTAGGCAAACACTGCTTCAAAGTAGTTTTTCAGAAGTGGTTGAGAATGATTCACTGACACTTTAAATCTTCATAATTTTTAAACTGTTGTTATCTCTTAGAATATCACTGGAAATGAGATTGGCACTAACATTTCCAAACCTGTTGTCTCTTGCCTGAGAGAGAGTTAGTCCTTTGTTTGAGCCTTCTTTATCCTGGGGGTTGTGACGACTATTTGAGTTGTCCCATACACTGCCCATGACATTCTGTGTCTTATGTGTCCTGGATGTCTAAAGAAGTGCTTTTTTTCCTAATATATACACACACACACACACACACACACACACACACACGAGGAATTTAGTTGGGTAAGAACAAGATGCTAAAAGCCTTAAAACATTTTTCTTTTAAAGAAGTAATACCTGTCCTCTCTATCCTTATTTACTCTGCTCCCCTGCCTCCCGCCCTGCCCTGCACAGATAGGCTAAAGATGACGTAGCACTTTAAGCTAAGTTGCATTATAACAAATTACAGCATTAGCACAGTTCAAATTAATTACATTTTACTTTATTTGGTTACAGAGGGACTAACAGACACTTAGGAACTTAATATCTCTTGTGAATTTCATTACTAAACTGCAGTTTTTAAAACATGATTTGATCTTTGGTTGCCATAAATTGAAATTGAAAAGGCTCACAATTATATTCCATTTGAATCCAGGTTTTTTCACTGAGGCATTTATTTAAGCTTTAGGGATATTTTTTTCTTTATTATTGCTGATTAATTAAGGTTTTTTTTACAGCTTCATTGAAATTGATGTATAATAAACTGCAAATATTTAAAGCACACGATTTGATGACTTTTGTCACATGTGTACTGTGAAGTCGTCAGCACAGTCGAGGTGATGACCTATCCATCACACCTATTCATCACCAAAGTTTCCTTGGGCCACTCTGTAGTCCCTCCTTGCCCACCCCCTGCCCCCTGCAGGTAACCACTGGTCTGCTGGTTTGCTTTCTGTCACTAGAGATTAGCTTGCATTTTCTAGAATTTTATATGAATGGAACCACAGTCTTTTTATTGTCTGGTAATATTGATGTACATGTCCTTTTAGTTCCAGTTCAGACATCATAAGAGATCTTCTAGAAGAAGAGGAAGCCTGGGAAGCATCGCATAAGTGAGTTCTCATAATCACGAAATAAGCATGTACTTTGACCTGATAAATTATAATTCTATACAGTTGATTTTCAAACCAAAGAATATTTGTGCTTACTGACTTAAGCAAGTAATAATTCACAAAAATCAAGGTAAAGATTTCCAGTTCACTACTTGTTTCTATATATTTCTGCTCAGAAATGCAATCTTAGTGTAATAACTCCAGTTAGTTGTCAGAAGTTGTTTTTCTAAAGATAAATTGTTCCAATGGGCAATTAATAGTCAGGAATTAACAGTCGGGCCTTAAGCACTGGCTTAGACTCTTTAGAAAACTTTTCACCCTTCCCTGAATGTTGCCAGTCATAAGACTGTAGTACAACTGGGCAGATTTGTTCCACTAAGATTTCATGAAGCTCACATACCACAAGTGGGCCCTCAAAACTGCCTCGCTCTTCTACTGTTTCTGTGATTATTTCTTTGTTCTGTTCTTCACAAGGATTACTTGAACCCTTCTCAATTCTTTTCAGTGGCTCCAGCCTCGCTGAAGACCTTTTCTCTTCCTTTGTAGAGAAAATAGAAGCCATTGTATGGGAATCCTCATCTTTCCAACACCAAATGTATAAATCTGCCTGTGTTTGTACATATTTTATCCCTCCTTTTATAATTTCTTCATTTTATAATAAAGGGCTGCCTCTTTATTATAGAGTCTAGTTTCTCCTACCTCATTCCTACCCTCTTGTCAGGAATGTTACGCGTTCTCTCTTCTCTCATTTAGGCATCTCTCCCTCTCCTGTCCTCTCTCTCTCTCTCTCTCTCTCTCTCTCTCTCTCTCTCTCTCTCTC